AATGTGCACTGAGTGGCAGCAGGTGTTACATCTCACATTAGTCTTTCACCAGGCCAGTGCAGCAGCAGAGGCAGCTGAAGGAACCCAGCTGCTGGGGGTTAAGTGGTTACTGCCCTCAGCTGCTCATTCTCCTCTCCCAGGGGGAGGCGTTACTGTGTTTAAAAAAAAATATAATAAAATATATCGGTTCTCTGATCTCTCTCAACTATGTCAGATAAATAAATGGATGGGAAGAGAGGTACAGCATCCTCTGTTGTCAGTCAGGTTGCCCAGAGAAGCTGTGGATGCCCCATCCCTGGAGGGGTTCAAGGCCAGGCTGGATGAGGCTTTGAGCAACCTGGGCTAGTGGGAGGTGTCACTGCCCATGGCAGGGGGGGTGGAACTTGATGATCTTTAAGGTCCCTTCCAACCCAAACCATTCTGTGATTCTAATCTGGATCAGCAGCAACACGGATAGTATCTCTAACCACTCCCCAAATGTCCCCTTATGTTCAGCTCCCTCAGCATTTCCCAAACCTCCTTCTGCCCTAAAACCATCACTCACTCTCATTTTTGGCCACCTGTTTCCAAGTCAAATTTCTCACTGGATCTTGCTTACCTCCTCCTCGCACTCCTCATTCTGTTCTCTCCATCTCCTCCTCCCTCCTATCTACCTACTTGAAATCTGGTGTCTCTCAGGGCTTTCCCAGCTCTGAAAAGAAATAGGGCCTTGGCAGCAGTGGCCAGTTGGGGACAGCGTGGGATCCCCTCCTCGTAGCTTCTGTGCTGTGCTCACAGTGCTGGTAATGCCGCCTGCAACTCTCTCCTGCTGTCCAGCCTCGCGAGCTGGGGGCCGGGGCACGCACAGCCTGGGCAGAGCTCCCTGCACCCTCCCCAAGGGTCTCTCTCAAGCTGTTGATTTAGTGGGCAGGTGTTAAGTTTCTCAACTGGAAAAAATTGTAGAGCAATTCACAGGAGCACCGAAGGGACACAATCCTGATGCACAGCACCAGGTGATCTGAGCAGAACAGTAATCCATTAGTATCAAAGCATTTTCTGAAACGCTGTAAACAAAAAAAATGTAGCTGCTCTCAGACACGGGAGATTCCACCTATGAAGTCAAACCAGACCCAAGCCAAAACCCGGCTGAAAAAGCAAAATGCAGTTAGATTCAGCCCTGACCAAGCAGGAGCAGCACCCGTGACAGCTAAATGAACCCAAGGGCTCAGAACTGGTAGGACTGCACAGGTCCAGCTCAAAGCCATTAAAGCCTGTAAAATCATGAGCCCTAGAAAGCAGCACTGTAACAGGAAAAGCTGTGCTGCAAAAAGTGTCAATATTTTTTATGATAAGCAATGCTGTGAAACCAAACCAAAGCAGAATCATTATCACCTCGATATAAGCTTAAAACATTATTTTCAGAGTCTCTTAGGAAGTCCTGGAGTGTAAGTTTTCACTACAGAAGAACAACATCCAGTTCCCTCACTGCCAAACCCATGCTTGCTTAGTATGTATCATTTCACTTTTTTTCTTTAAAGATTGGTGCAAAAATAACAATATACAGCTGTTATACAAAAAAATAAAATTAGCAACTTCTTAAATAACTAGGAATAAATTTTAATATTTAATAAGACACTGAAGTTTCTCAAGCAGTCAAGACATGGAATAATGTGACTCAACAATGTGGAAAAATCCCATTAATACGTCTTTCAAGATATTTTGTATTTCCAAATAATTCAAATTAAAAAAACCCTAAAAACTGACCATGTACACAATGCTATTGATCAAAACAGACATTTGATTATTCTTCCTAGATTGTATGAAAATACATCTAACATATTCAACTGAAAATTGTTTCCATGCTTGCTCATGTGATAACAACAAATTCTGAATTTGGCTATCATGTACCAGCTTTGAAGATTTTGCTGGAAAAGGAAAGACATCTTTCTATTTCTATGGGCAAGACACTAAGTACATAATTTAATGCCACATAATAGGTCATACTTAGATGTTATTTAGGTGAATTTATAACAGAAGATCTCTTAAGTTGCTGAATGCTATAAAGTATTGAGTTGCATCATGAGAAAGCTTAATTTTTCAAGATTGTTTTCCCTTGTATTTGAACAGTGGAAGAAGGAAAATAGTGAAACAACTTGTTATTTTGTCTTCTTTTTTAAACAAAACCTCCAGCCTATTTTCCCAGTGCTGCAGAGTAAGGTACAGAAGCCTTCATTAAAAGACACCTGAAAACCACCTTTCTTGATTCAGAAACTAAAATTCTACCAGATCACCACCTGAGTGACTTAGCTGAGCTCATGGGGTTACATGGTCAGTACATATTAAGGGAGAAGTTGATCCACGTTTCTTTTAAAGATCCATCTCCAATGTATGTGATCAGCAGAAGGAATGAACTAGCAACTCAAAAGCAAACTGCTCGTTTGCAGTCTCAGTGATGCAAGCCTTCATTGGCCCAAAGGGTTGAGTAGTAGAGAGCAGAGAAGAGGTAGAAGGAAGCAGAAAGTCAAGCAGCCACTCGCTAAGATCTGTTTGTGTAAATTTACTGTTATAAAAAGAGCGCTGAGAGGGGTTGCTTCGAACGCCAAAGTCTTTATTTATCCACAGACAGATACAAAATGGGTGGCTGTCCTGCATCCTGCCATACTAAATGTGCTTGTGAGCCCACCTGAGAGGCAGGCAGGAGTTGTAGGCTCTGCGACCGGCCTTAAAACTGACGGTGTAACTGCAGAAGTGCCAATTGGTAACTATTTGACATGGTGGCTTCTGGAAGTGGGTATCTGCCTCTTAGGACCTGGGGCATAACGGTTCCAGGGTGCCAGAGCTGTTATACCTATATATGAAGAGGAAAAAGCAACGAAACAACTAAAAAATTAACAAATTATAAAAGCAATGGAATGTAAAGGTAAAATTTTATAATAAGTTATTTAAAGGTATTCTTATAAAGCCTTCCTTACATGGTATAGCATTCAGAGAATGGTCCCAATGACATCAAATTCCTTCATTTTGTTTAAAAGAGATAGGAAAATTTTTCTGCTTTACTACCTGATCTCAATTTTCTCCCCTCAAAAACCACTATTAGAGAAACATACGTATTACCATTTTTTGGTTTTGATTTTAGGCACAGGCCTATGCTTCAGTCCTGATATAACACAAATCTACAGAGGGAAAGATTCCCTTAAGATCAAATACGAAACCTTGATTTTTTTTCCTTGAGTGCACGGCTTGGCATACCACTTTTAACAATGCAAACATGTAACGTTTCCCCCTATTTTGAACTGGGCTGTTTTTTCAAAATTATCTGAAAAAAAATTAACCTTCCAACAGTGTTTACAAAAATTGATTAAAAGAACAAAGGAGTTTGGTCACAAAACAGACACCAAAGAGTTCAGGGCAGAGCAATGCTACATTTAAAACCTCTTTCAAGTAATATCTGCTAATAAAACCAAAGTTTTTATGTTTTGGAAACAAATGGGAATTTTGTAATTCCAAAAACTAAATCTGCAATCAAATCCAGAAGAAACACTTTGGAAAAAAACATACATTTTCATGATATAGCAAGGCTTCAATTTCAAAAGGGCTACACAGAGTTTCTGCACTATTAAAGGCAAACTAAGCTAGAACATACACAAATTACTCAATGGACATGAAGGCGCACATTGTGTTTACATAGGCTAGATAACAATGGCACAAGTCAAAAATCGCTTGTAACGCTGCCTAATCACACACCAAGGACATGCACTGGGAAGAAAACAGGTAAAGACATTTTTCTTTACCATTTTTTCCTAGTTCTAATATTATTTCCACCAATACTAAATCTTGTATATTTTTCTCCCTGCAAATGTGAGAACCTAAGGGAACAAAGAATTCAAAACAGCTTTGATGACACAACGCAGTGGCGATAAGATAGTCGAGAGCAGAGCTCCTAAAAAATTAAAGAATGATTTCAAACAGTCTGCCAAGTCAAGTAACCAGTTTTACACAAACTTTATCAAAAGGAACAGTCAGGCTAAATTTCACATTAAAATTGTTCCTTACAATTGCTTCTTCAAACATCTGTTTCACTTTTAGTTGTTTTGAATTTAGTTTTTGCATTTTAGTCAAGTTTCACCTTCTGTTTCATTCATGGGGGTTTTTTTGTTCCTCATTGGGGGCATTTTTTGTATTATCAAAAAGTTGAAATGCTTGGACTCCAAGCATTCCAAAGAAGTGTTTGCCTTCGCATTTTACTTGACATTGAAAAAAAAAAATAAAGTAATTTTTTTCAAATAATAGGTTTTGTATGATTTTTTTTTTTTATTAAGACACAAAAATCCTAGATTATTGGGCCTGGATTGCAAGACAATATCCCTTTAAATCCAGACTTGTACAGCTCTGCAAGATCAAGTCACTTCTGTTTCACTGGAATGAAATACAGGAAAAAACAGTATAGAAAAAAATCTCTTACAATGTAAGATTTCCCCTCTCTGGTACAGGGTGTGCCTTTCCCACCATGCACTATGTTTCTTGGGGGAAGGACATTTAAAAACATGTTTAAGAATCATGGGAGAGCTATATTATAAGAGCACAAATTGTTATGGGTGTGGTTATAGCGAGATACGCACCTGGATCATGAATGGCATTCAAGCACTTGCTCAAAAAAACACAAAAGGCAAGCAAATCTCATTGGGACCACAGACCAAGACATTTCTTACTTAAAAGGACTTGAGAGCTAATAACTTCTTTCAAGGATACACTATTTTTAACATCTGGTGGATGACAAATACTATCTCAAAAAACCTATGTTTACGCCTACCTGGTTTGATTTTAACCTACCTCCAACCTGAAAATATTTTGGAGGGAACCTTTTACATTCGTAACAATTCAAGTGTAACTGTAATGCTGAGTAATAAGTTTGGTTTGTCCTGAAATTTTCTGAACTATGCAGTTCGTTATCAGTGCAGAAGCAGCAGAAGACTGCTGTGGTTGGCTCAGTGGATTTATAAAAACAAAACAAAACAAAAAATCCCCCCCATGTAACCTTTACAGAATATATGTAAAATTGTGTCCTTCCCTGGTCATATTCACAACGTATCTACAAGATAGTGTTGGCAGTAGAAACTGCAGTCCATGACTATTTGCATTCAGCTCTCATCCATCTGTTCCTCTGCTTTCTCTTAGGCTTCAACTTGTTCAGTTTTTTGCGGGGTTTCTCAGTCTTCCGAGTTTCAACAGAATCCACCCCAAGAACATGTTCAGAGCAGCATAACTGTCCATTCCGCGTAGAATTTAGTACTGTCCTGTCTTGGTGTTCCTTGCAGAAAGAATTTGGGCAGAAGTGGCAGAAAGAAACAGAAGGTTTGCCACAAACATCACAGTGGTGCCAAGGACACTCCCACTTCCCTGTGATCAAAACCAAAGAGCACATTAGTAAAGAGTAAAACATATCATAATTTTGTAAAAGTTTTGTGTTTTAGCAGCTGATCAACACATGACTTTCCTGATAAAGCCAGATGAGACAGCAACTACTGTGGCTCATCTCAAAAAATCAAAATGCCACATCATACTTCTAAAGCTCAACTGACACCAGTAAGTAGCAGACTTGACATCCTTTCATTTAAATACAGCAGTGAACTCCAGCTAGAAGAAATTATTCAGGCTTTACTCAAGAGCGTTTTTACAGAACTTGCAGGCTGGCAGAGTATCCAAATGTCCAGCCAACTGCTGCTTACCGTTACAATGCTCACCTATTTATGGCAAGTTTTGCTCAGGGATGGCTGATGGGCTTTACCTACAGATGCTCTTTTGCTCCAGCATTTCTTAGATACCATTAACTCTCCTATGACAGGGCCACAGTGCTCCTACCAGGTGATGTACTCAGTTACCTACATTTGTAAAACAGAAGGCTCATTTTGCCAGAGGCAGGAGGAACGCTATAATTTTGTCTCCATACTCAAGAAGAGCTCCTATGTGATGCACAAAGTTCTTGCCATATGAAAATAATGCTTATGAGAAGCCGCTCTTGACAAGGTTTTAGTGCAATAAATGAGGTACCTGCACAAGTTATTTATTTACTTAAGAGGCAAGCTGACTCACCAAAAGGACGTTTCACCAAACCAAGACAGGAGAGATGATAAGCTTTAGTACAAGATTTCCTGTCGCACAATACCAGCTGGCCTCCATCACCACAACGGAAACAATCGTCTTCAGATTCTTTTTTCCCTTCATTTTTCGTTCTGCGTCTCCGTGTTCTCTTTTTGGTCTTTTTGCCTTTTTCTTCTGAAGTGGAAGAATTCTAAGAGAGTAAGATGCAAATCTGTAAATGTCAGTTTTACAAAGGAAAAATATTACACAACCTAGCAAAACTGTTGGCATGCCTGTGCACGCAGGCAAAAATTCGACTTGGTCCACATGTGTCCAGTGCCTCACCATACCAATCTGCATTGATAAAAAAACCCCACAGTGACCCCTGTAATAAGTCATCTTAAAGCTAGATCTTGTCTCTACAATCCCTTCCTACTGGAAAGCTCTTCCACTTTCTTATAACTGAAAAAAGGTCTCCCCAATTTCCAGTCTAATCTACTTGCAGCTAATTTACCCCCATTTTGTTCTTGCACCACTAATCGCTTCACCTCAATATCCATTCTTCTCTTCCAGTGGTGTATACTCATGCTGGAATTGCTAAAAACAGTCTCTGCTTCTCTTTTAGGAACAGAAAACAGAATTTCAGGAACGGTAGTTGTGCCCATAATGCTAGAAAGAATATACCAAACCTTATCCCTATTTCAATCTGGCATTCTGCTGCTTGAACTTCAACTCTCCTTCACCAAATCATATAAAATCCATTCTGGCTGTTTTTTCAACATCTCTACCATTATTCCCTCCTGCTCACCCCAGTAATCATTACCTTCTTTCTTCAAAATTAACCCATTCTATCTACCAATGCCCACAGCCTTGCAAAACTGAACTGTAACATTTAATTTCTTCGTGGCTGTCTGCATAAATTGATCACAAGCTTACGTGAAACCCCACTTAAGCTTCTCCCTTAACAGAAACCAGCAATGCAAATTCTGGAGATTTTAAGTCCACCCTCTGATGTGCCTGACACTGAGCAGTGTGAAGGATCACAAGTGCAGCCTTTGTACATCCACAGCTGAGATTTTTTTTCTCTTGGGAATGTACTCATGCCTTCCCTTGTGCTCCTATGCAAGCCCTTCAGGAATTCCCATCAACTTTTGCTGGATTACGGGTTTTAAATTGACCTGACATGAATCATACAGGCCACTTCTTGACATAATTTGGTATAATTTTTTCCTCATTCAAAACTCACATTTTTAGTTCTTCAGTTCAACTGAAAAATTTTTAACAAATCTTAACAAAATAATAATATTTTAAGGTTCAGATGGGGGAAATATAAACTGCCATGTCAGAATAATCTCACCGCCTATAGTTAGGCTCATTCTTCGTCAGTTCCTAGCTCCTACAACCCTTCCCCTCCCCACCCTTCAAATGAGTAGCTGGCAATATTTCTTACTCAGGACCCAAAGTAATTTCTCATCAGAGAAAGTGGGAGAAAATATTTTAGGATATTCCCAAAAGCAGTATTTGCCTGCTGCACCATTACAGCATAAAAATGTATTATTTAGCACCAAGGTTATGTTTGGCAAAAGAATGTTTCCATCTTCCCAGCACAGGAAACAGTAAGTAAGCTTTCTCCTCAGAGGACAGCTAGCATCTGTTCAAGCAGCATCAACCCTTATCATAACACAAAGCTGGTCCGCCAACGCATACCCCAAGAGAAAAACAAGGCTAGTAGACATGACATGGTCAAAATCTCTTGATGTATTACTTGCCTTTGGTCTGTCCCCAAGAAATCCACTGCAGTTTGGGGCACCACATTTGCAGACTGTTTTTTCATTGCCCAGACAGTCAAGGTTGTAGTTAAAAGTCAGCTCTGTCCCTGAGTGAGATAAGACATACCCTTTCATTGTGAAGGACAAGGTAATGAAGTCTATCAAAATTATTACAAACTAAGATTTCATTATCTGTCTTCTGGTTTTGTACTTGCTCACCGATCTATTATCATAGCTATAGAGATGTGTGTGTGTGTATGTGTACGTACACAAACCAGAACATATATAAACATCCTTCTTGCCCTGCTCCTTATTATTGTCACTTGAAGAAAAGATACAGAAATGTTGTTTGAGATCTCTACAAAAATATTTGCACTGATTCAGTTGAACCACAACTGTCCCACTCATAACCTTGCATAAAGTTTAACTCAGGGAATTAAAACAAAACCAACATAAGCTGATATACCTGCAGGAATATCACACACAGCAAACAGGCCGACACGAGTGTCTCCATTTACTGTCCATTTTAGAGTTTCACAATTTGGTTGGCAGCTGTGATTCATAAAACGAGAATAGTTTCCTTTGGGGCCAGCATCAATAATACGGTCCTAGAGATCAAACCAGTGACAGAATGAATGTTTTTTCTCCCCCCTCACAAAAAAAAAAAAACAAAACACAACCAACCCAAAACCATAAATTATCTCAGTAGCTGCATTCAAAACAGCCATGGTGTTGCTACCCAGAAGCACACAAGCAAACCAGTGGTACATGTTGTATTGAAAACTGTAGTGTCCCATGTAGCCTGGGATGTGACACTCCCAAAGCAATACTCGTGCTCTAGCTCACGTTTTCCCAGAACTCATCTCAGCCACGTGGCAGGATAAGTGTTCTTGTGAGCGCTGTGGTGGTCATATTAAGAACCCCCTCCCTCCAAAAAGCCTCAAAACTCAAACTCGGTCCATTTACCTTTTACTTTGCATTCACAAAGCTGTGACGCATTTACAAATACTGTGCTTTATGGTATTTATCAAGTCACTGCATGATTACTTGCAGAGATTACCGGTTTCTCACCAGCTTGCTTTCCCCATATCAGCCTAGTTTAAACAAAAACAAGCTCTTGGTAAACTAAAAAAATCCCATCCCTACACACAATTGCCTTTTAATTTCTATCTCCACCAAGCATACCAGACATTAACAAAATAAAACAAAGTCTTATAAGAGCCAGAAGAATTTTGGAACTGTGATTCTTTGCAGGGCTGCTTAAGACACCTTTGCTTATTTATGAACAATTATTACAGTTTCCTTCTAACTCATATTTATAATGTGCGATTGTCATGACTGTGTGCACATCCAGCCACTCTAACTGCACGTACAGCTCAGCCTCACGGGCATTTGTGAAAGAACCACAGTGATCATTCATTAACTATGGCAAGAGTTGCACACGTGTTCAGTTCGGATATGTAACATGCTGACATTGTGCGTCAGTTTAGCAGTTTGGTGAGAAACTGAAGTGTTCAGAGAAACATGGTGTCATCCTTCTTAGGTGATAACTCCTGTGCAGAACTCCTCAGTTACAGGACTAATGAGAACAGCAGCTGTGGAAATACAGAGGAGGACTGTCTTGGGCAAAAGAAAGGTGATTAGGACTGAAAAAACATGCAGGACTGACAGCCAGCTCTTGTTTCTCTCCTAAGCAGCTGTTTGGGGACTAAAGCTATATAATATATATAATCAATATATATATATAACCCTCTACTGTCTGGGTTCCCCACTGTCTTCCCCTTCTCAGGAGCAAAATACTCAGGTGTGTACCGAGAACACAGATGCTGGATTAATTTGCTGTGTCAATTAATCTGCTGGATTAATTTGCTGCAGAATCAATTTGTGAAGTGCTGGCTTGCTACTAATACAGATCGTGCTTTCAGAAAAGAGTTTCTACAAAAGCACAAGCATAGTTTTGCTATAAACAAAGAAAGGGACAGATAGTTGCAAAAAATGATTAAATGCCCAATATAGGACACAGCTTCACAACTATATTCCACACTACTCTCAAGGGAGAATTTATTTTTTGTTGCTGAAATTTTAGTAAAAGGATTGCTAACTAATTTTTTCAGTTGTATCATTACTATTTCAAGGTCAAGTTACTATACAATTATAATTTCAAGGTCAGGTTGGACGGGGCTCTGAGCAACCTGATCTGGTGGAAGATGTCCCTGCTCATTGCAGGGGGGTTGGACTTGATGACCTTTAAAGGTCCTTTCCAACCCAAATCATTTTATGATTCTATTTCCTGAAATTCATACTTCCTTTTAAGACTAGGCAGATAAGTACTTTTGCCGTACTTGATTTCAAGTAGAAAAGCACAATTTATAGACCTTAGTACATATTTTATTGTATTATATAGTTAGAACTAATGAGATGCATTTTTTGAATGGAGCAAGCAGGCACAGAAGATACATTATGAACACATGAAACTGTGGAACATCACAGGTAGCAGAGTGCCCTACCAAGGTGATCAACAGAAGGAAAAGAGATCAAAATAATGTTACAATTAAATAATGAAATAAAATGTAAAATACTCTACCTTATCAATAGTAAGCATATAGAAGTGGGTAATGTCATTTTCATGTGCATATTTGATTCTTGCCATACACTCCTCTTCATCAATCAGCTCACCGACATACTCATTCACAAACTCTCCCTGAAAGATACCAAGTATCACTAGTAAAGTATATACCAAACCCACAAACAGCATCACAAGTCACCAATTCTTTGCTAGACAAGAATGATTCATACCTTTTTGATGTCCCTCTTAGCGACCAAACCCCACCCTTTCCCATCGGTTTTGATGATCTTTGTCTCAGGGTATTGACGTTTTGTGAAGCACTGGTTTTGGCACCTTTCTCCTGCTGGACAAACTTGTGGATGGCATTCGTACATCAGCATCCGATTTAGGCACTCAGAATCAAAGCCACAAGGGTTTTCATCTGTGGGTTTGCAGTTGCACTTGGGAATCTCAGAAATGTCAGCAGTATATATCTGCACTTTACCACAAGGTTTATTCACCTGAAAAATACATTAAAATAGTTCAAACATCACTTTAAACCCCTTGAATTTATCATAAGAGTTATCACAGTGGTTACTAATTTGGTTTTGCAATACTAGGTGTTCCAATGGAAGGAAAATTTCATCACCACATGACTCTAAAAGCACAATTACCAGCACATCATTACAGCCTCTCCTCCCCACCTCACCATTCAGCTCTTCCTCTCCAAGGGTGGCTTAGACCTTTGAGTACCCAGTGTAATTTCCTCAAACTTTACCTTAATATGCTTGTATGGTGGAGGTTTACGTTCACTTTCTTGGGTTTCTTTGGCTTCTCGCTGTAGCTTTATTTCTCGAAATCGAGCTTCAGCTTCTCGCAAAGCTAAAAAACATTGTAGTATCAACACAAATATTAGAAAGAGGATTACTTGCCCCAAGTTGACTTGCTCATTCCCATGTGCGTTAAACAAAGAATAATTTACTTCCTAGACCCATAATTCAATTTTCCTGCAAACAGTGCTTCTGGGGTGTTAATAATCTTAACAAATCTATCAATTCTACTCTTTCTGTCTCCCAGTTACATTCATAATTTCCATTACAGAAAGTGAAAATCATCAGAAATAATTCCAGTCAGATGCTAGTCTTTTACAAGCCATGAAAATAATGCTTTCATTCAAAGTTAGTAACACTGCCTGCTGCCCCAGACAACAAAACAATTTTTTTAATTCAATATTGTAAACCAAATGTATTACATTCACAATTTCCTTTACAGAAAGTGAAAATCATCAGTTCCAGTCAGATGCTAGTCTTTTACAAGCCATGAAAATAATGCTTTCATTCAAAGTTAGTAACACTGCCTGCTGCCCCAGACACCAAAACAATTTTTTAAATTCAATATTGTAAACCAAATGTACAAAAGCAGCTGCAAGACTATGTGTGAAGAAAGTAAAGCATGCATATCACAAGATTGGTTTTGTTTACTTTTAGTTAAGTACCATTTTTGAAGACTTTTCCAATTCTTTTGATCCCCTGGTATCTACTCCCTCTGTCTCCCTCCATGTAAGGGAACACCCGTGCTTGGTGCGTCCAATAGTAATCCTTAGAACCAAAGAAAAACACAGGAAATTCTCCGATTTCATGCTTCATTTTCTGGATATTTGGGGGAACGTTTTTCGGATGGCAAACTTCTGCAGGCCACCATCTAGCACAGAAGTACAAATAAAAAAATACAGCATTTTAGTCAAGCTCTTTCTGCAAGTGAAAGTTTGGCAAAATCACCCTAAGCAGCAGTAACTGATTATTATTTCCAAGATCCAAGTGGACTTAAAATCCTCCCCCTGCAGTCCTCGCCCCAACACTCACTAGTCAAGGAGAGATGCCAGGACTAGAAAAGGAAAGCCTGACACTCAAATCTGTTGGACTTTTGCCCATCTGCGAGATAAGCATATACATAAAGCTCCTTGCATCTGGTTAGCAAAAACATCATCAGGTCTGCAATCACTGCAATTGTCAAAAATCAGAAGACAGTTGATAACAGCTATTAATGCTTTCTAGGATAAACCCCACCCACCTCTATCTCACACAAAGCTCAATGAAGTGTAAAACACTGACAGTCTGAGTGACTTATCTCCCAGCCTGCAAGGTAGTAATTTAGCAAATTACAAGTTATACCAGCTTAATTATTTGAAGAGATCTCTGAAACAAAAGGGGTTGAAGGCTCCTACACTAGAAGCAGACTACAAGGAGTCCTGTACGGGTAATGCCTTGGCAGAAAGCAACAGTGAAGCGACAAGTCTCTGAACTTGAAGCCTGCAAGGAGAGGGGGTCCCTAATTCACAGAGGAATGAGAAATCTGTGTGCAGTAAGGCTGGCCTACAGAAGCGACCAATTGTATGATCCTTAAACAAACATTCCAGTAGTGTAAAACAAAATAAATCTGTTCATCAGACCTGTAATTTCCCAGTTTAACCCAAATAATATCCTGGAAATGGAGTTTCTTCCCTGCCCTGCAGTCATTGCAGTACCAGCTCCCATCCGGCATTTCGATGTTTAAGCAGTCTGGGTGAAACGCCGCAGGACACGACTCGCAGCACAACAAGCTTCCGCCTTCAGAGAGAGAGAGAGAAAAAAAAAAAAAGGTGAAAAACATCAAGACAAAAGTAAAAGTTTTGCATTCCAACCAGGCTCAAAGCGGTGCAGGACGTGTGGTAGGTTCAGTTAGAAAAGAACAAAACCCAACAGTTAAAATATGCTGGCCTGCAGCATACATACAATTTAGTTGTGTTCAAAACCCCAAAATCCTGCACTAATTTGAATGCCTGGCAGACCCGGATTAGTAATACATACAAAATAACAAGCAAGCTGGTGATAAAAAATCCAGACTAATGCACTGCCAATTATAATTACTTTGTTTTACTTTAATGACTACAATATATTTAACATCGTTTAATATATATTAATATTTCACTGTATGCAAAATTTTAACAGCAGATTTCTCTTATGTTTTTTTTCCTGGGGGGAGAGGGAATGAGGTTGTTAGTTTGTTCCATGAATTACCAAGTGGAAAGTTAGCTGCAGCTTAACAAGCTGCTATGCTGCTGTTAATTTGTTAACAAATCAGGTAAACTTTCTCTGCTACAGTTTAATCAGCACTATGCATTTTGTGGTTCTCAGTAAGAAAAAAATTTATTGTACAACCTAAAACAAAACACCCTTAATTAGCAGCACTCCCAGCAACAACTAATACTGATTCAATTTGCTGTCTGCTGCTAAACTAAAAGCAACTCTTGAAATATTTATGTTTATTAGTATTACGTATTAGCAATAAAGAACACAGAAAGCTTCAGTACATTGAACCCAGGGGAAAGAACAGAGAAATACTTCTCATTACGTGCCTTTGGTAAAGAATTAAATCAGGCTTCTGGTTGCTGGACAAAGTCCAAGTAAAAACATTCTTTAATAAACGATATCTGCAAAAAAAGGATACTCAAACACTTGAAGCAGCACAAGCCAACCTGAAGTTATGTCAATACCTAAAGGAGCCTAACTTAATATGCCACATTTCTAATAATTTTCTATAAACAGATTAGTAAACTAAAATTTAAATTGAAGAATAAAACATTTTGATGCTGCATTTATGAAAGAGTTTGACGTCAGTTTACCTTTTGAACACACAAAGCACCAGCTCACATTGACATGCGCGTGATGACTTTTTCCTTTCATGGCAGTGAAATGATTCGTACAAACAATGCTGTTGGAAGCGATGACTGCACATCCCGCAGCAATGCAAACGTCTCCAGCATGGTATGCAACAGGACAGCGAACACAACGCATCATCTTTCCTAGCAAAGCAGAATACTGCCATATTATTTTTGAAAAAAAAAAAAGATTTATTATTTGAGCTAAAAAAATGGTAGTACTGCCTGAGACCGCCTATATACACACAAAAAAAAACCATCAATAATGTTTTCAAAGTCTGCATATTTGCATTTAGCAACAATACTGAATTAACAAAGGTTTTTAAAGAACCCTACACCGAGTTTAAAGCACTGTAATATTTAAATATGAAGGCTTTAACTATACACACCAGGGTAGACAAGCTTTCCTCAGTCATGCAATTTTGTCTACAGATCTTGCCCAAAGCCAAAAATATGTACAAAATCAAATGTCTCCACGTTCAGCGAGCCTTGCTGCAGTATTTGTACATTCACAGGTCTTGCCCTCACTCTGCTCAGCGTGTCTCTCATCATCTACGCATACTAGATTTCATTCTCTCTTAAGAAAACATGGTTAACTATAGATAATTGAAAGCTAGTTAAAAAAAATAACACAAAAGGTAAATACTAATATTGTCTAAAAATGATGCAATTATTTTTTCAAAAATTCTGAATAATAATCCATGCATGGCTGAAAAATTGCAGCTAGCAGCTATTAAATGGCCACATTCTGTAGCTTAACATGCCACAAATAGACTTAATTCATCAGTCAGAAAAATGTAACGTGAAACTACCTTTTGAAATCCGTGGATGTGAGGGGTTACTAACATGACAACTTTGGCAGCTGTGGAGAGGACATCGAAAACCCCTGTTCTCAAACACAGTAAGATGAAATTTTTTCACACAAGCTTCATGGTAGAATTTTCCGCAGTGAGATACGACACAGCGTTTCACATCTGCCTTTCTCTCTTTACACGCAAAACAGGTATGCACACCTAGTGGCAAAAATAACAACAATGAAACTATTTTTTCATTCAAACGTGAATTTAAAATACTTCTATTGTGAGTTTTTCTTATACATGGGGGAGTTGCTTTTTCCGTAGGTTTTTTTTTTTAAACAAACTCAAATAAAATTCGGTTATTTGATGCAGCAATCTATTTACTTTAACTCTTCTGTGTTAAAAATTAATCTGTTCAGATACAGATAAAGTTACAATGCAAACCCACTGCAGTTAAAATGTACACAGCACCACCCAAAGCCTCACCGATCTGCTTTTACGTTCTTATTTATAAGCCTCAGTATGCCAGGATAACTGTGAATTTTTTATTATTGTTTTAAAAGCAATGAAACAGGATGTTGTGTTGTTGGTGATCCTGTGAAATCTAAAGTAGGTCTGCAAACCAAGGACAAGCATCCTTTAAGCTTCTCTCTGGACCACTTGGAACAGCTTAATTTTGAAGCAGCCTTGTTCGAACAAGGTTTACCGCCTGTACTGAACTGAGCTTATGAGCAAGAACGCAAATCTTTCACGTAAAATTTTGAGATTAAGAACTTCCAAGCAGTTATTATAGGATTGAAAGCAAATGGAATCAATAGCAATAAGGTAGGCTTTTAATAGGAAAAGCAAAAGACACACAAAGGACTGAAAAAGGACTTAAAACATTTCACTTTGTGACAGATTTTAAATCTAATCTGTAATTGTACTCAGAGAGCAAATATTCTGCAATTGTCAAGGCAATGGAATTCAGACTAAATCCAGCCAAGAGAGTGCTCCCTGAAAGCAGAGTGAGCTTTCTAAACAGGGCACTGTTCATGGTACTATATGAACTCCCACCCTGTCAGGCACCAAAGGATAAATATGGTTTCTCCAGAGATATATACTCTGTCCAGGAGGATTTCCTAGAACAAGGTATGGGAAAACTACAACATTTTTTTTCTTATTAATAGAAAGGGACAAACTTGCCTGATGTACATTCACTACAAATGAATTTTCCTGCTGGTCTTCCAGAGAGCCCAAGGCAGCTTACGTGAAAAGCTCGATAGCAAAGTCCTTCACACAGCAGGAGATCACCTGTTTTTTCACACAGCTTTTACAACACAAAGGCATTGAACGTTAAAGAAAAGTTCATATGTGGAAAAAACTGTTTTCTTTATTCCTTTTCATATATTGTTCCTCAAAATCTTTTTTCCCATTGTTGAAATCAAATTTAACAAGTGAAAGATCATTTTACAAGCATCATCATGTGCCCTGGCTTCCAGTTGAAACAGAAAACAGCCATTAAACCGCTAGAAATATCACTCATGACTCATGAGTAAATACAACCTGACAGAAAAAAAGGAAAAGAAAAAAAAAAAAGCTTTAAGAAATTTTCCCTGAGCACACTGATGCATCCGAGTAGGGTTAAAAAACACCCTTATTTTCCTTTTCCTTGGCAAAAGGAAATTAATCTAGGTGGCACAATGACACTTCTATGTCTGAGCGGTTAGCAATGACACATGCATAGCTAAAAATGAACCGAACAACAATGCTGGCAGAAGGGATTAGCCAACGTTGACAGATAGCTCTAACCTCCTCGTCACTACATACAAGAAATGGAAATACAGCTGCTTGCCCAGTCTCGTGGGAACAAATTTTTGTCCATTTGTATTGTGTTATCACTTCATAATCTAAGAACTCTTCCAGAATAGTTTGAGAAAGCTTTTTGCTTTCAATTAGCATGCCACAGGCACGCTGTTACCAACGCATCACTGCAATCTCTGCTGCTCGCAGAAGCACAAAACCCACCGGGTTTTACTGCCTCCTCTTTATTAACAGATAAGCGAGCAGCTCTTCTCAATCATTTAACTAGTTACCTGGCAACACTCATGCACTTACTCTGAGGTACAAATTATGCTTCTCTTAGAAATCTGGAAACTCAAGCAGAAAGGCTAAGTCACTTATTGGAGGTCAAGAAAAAAAATAATTAGTAATGAAGAATTCCATTTACTGCCACGGCACCCTCATCACTAACAGACATCTCAGACACACATGATAAATCTGTTTCTGGCCCAATATTGCCATTTTCATATTTAACAAGACCTTTTCTAGGAAACCTCAGAAAATATGGCTCACTGCCCCAGCTAACATCTCTCACCTGACACACATATTCTTTTTTTGTTCCTGCTCCTCGCTCAGATTTTTTGGATGATATAGACACTTCAGTCTGAGTTTCATCAGCACTTTCATAGGGAGACTCTGACCGCTCATCTCCTTGGCCATCGGAGATCTGAAGATTAAACATACATGTTAGAGAAAGCAGCCATGTATCATCAGTTTTGTACAGAATATCAACTGAAGGAAGCAAACAAACTGCAATTCAGATTAGCAGATTTAGGCACACTCTTTCAGGTTTGTTTCCCTCACCTTTAAAAAAAAAAAGTTGATTAAAACCAGAGTATGCATTTGTGGAAGTCTCATCAAAAGGACTATATAACAATCATCCTCACCAAACTCAACAGCAGCCAAAACAAAACACCAGAACTTTTTAATATGGTATTTTATTCATACTCAGTTCTGTAATAGTTATCTAGAAGTGCCTAGCCAGCAACACAGGGATATCTTCAAATCCCTTGACTGAAGTTTGAATAAGTGTTTTATGAGAGAGTAACAGTTAATTTTAGAAAGAAACTCGGTAAACTTCAAGCTGCATATGAAAGTCTCTGACCCAAATATTCTCCAAGAAAGTGGGAAGAGCATGGAGAGGGAGGAGAGGAGGAGAAGAGGAGAGAAGGAAGTGGCTCTCTAAATATGTTTGAGGAACATTATAGCTAACAATGAATTCAAAATGCTACACAAGAGAACCCTGTTATAGATAAATCTTATAACAGATTTAATGTTTTAAAGATGTAAGATTTTTAAAAAATATTCACAATTTACTTAAAAAAATCAACAACCAGTTCACATATTGAAAGGAAAATACAGGGCAGCTTTCAGTTCAATAGAATTTGGGGAGGGAATGGACAAATGAGTCACTTGTCTTATGTTAACACTACAGCAGAAGATGCAGAATTTCATCTTGTTGCTTCTAGATGATAGTCAGTGAGTTGCATTTGGCTAAGTACATTCTCCAGGAGAGCATCACCGCTTGCAATTGAAAAAGAAACCTGTTGCTTCTCTTTGAGCTTGTTCTAATGGTTATTCACACATACCATCAAAAATACTGCCTCATGCCCATTTTGAGCTGTCTTAACTGCAACTCCCAGTTGATGTTGCTTTCTCCAGGTATCTCAGCTATATTAGAACCTTTTTGGAACCGGACATTTTCCTCCTGTGGAAGCATGCTGTAATTAAGCCTGTTTCAATCCTTTTTGGTAAGCCCAGAACGCCTTCTAATTTTCTGCCTAAGGAATTTTTTCCAGCATCAAGAGAATTTTGGTGGGTTTTCCCTAAACCTTAACTATACTTTGAAAAGTTTGTTGAAAAATCAGGCATGGGAACTGGAGGCAATAGCCCATTACAAGTCTCATAAGTACAATATCCAAAGCAAACCAATGTGCTACTCTTCTTCACCGCTTCTGCTCTGCTGTGTCAGGATCTCCCTGTGACATTTCAGTACAGCACTGAAAGTCACTGTGAGTTGCCGCAGCACTCGAGATCATTTTGCCAATAGCTGTTTGTCGGGATACAGACACCCCACTTTTTATATGAAGAATTTGCTTTCTGTTTTCAGACATACAATCTTATATTTATCTATATGAAAACACATTTTATTACAAATGGCCCACCTTACTAAGTAATGGAGACAGCTATGTGCAACCCTCCGTGTCAGCCAATCTCCATGTAATGTGCAAATTTATTCAAGTGATTTATTTTGAAATCAGAGAGAAAAATGTAGAGCTGAACCCGACCTAGCATTAGCCTTTATCAAATCCCTTTAGAAACACTGCTTTTGAGCGATTACTTTTCATCGTTGCTGCCAGCTAACTTGGATTCCTCCAATTAACATTTGCTTTCCTTGACCATGTCCAAAAATACTTTGTAAATTGGATCAGATTGCCATTGTTGGTTGGGCAGGGGTTTTTTTCCAGATTACTTGCATGGGTGTAAATGCATCTCCTCCATGCAAATGCATACTACCAAACCTATGCTTCATCTATTAATATTTCTATAACTGGAGTGATTTGGAGATTCTGCCCAACCCTCTTAGAAGTGGTTAAAAGAAACTGCATGTAAAACCATTGCTTTGTTTAGGCACCAGTAAATCTCCATCCCCTGGAATGAGCCACGAAACAGTAAACTGCAAACGCAACCTGAGTGCATTCTTGAGTCTGAGTCAGTTCTTGCTGGCAAGGGGCAGATAAAGAAAGGTAGTGTGGGAGCTGGGCAAAAACACAACATTTTCCCTCACGGTTTAAGTAAACTTACATGCACGCTTATTTCTGTTTAAACTATTCCCACAGAAACATTAATTAGTATAAGCAGTGCACTGCTCTAACATCTTTAGTACTTCATTATCCTCCTGTTTCAACTAGCCAAAATTAGTCATGGTTAGAAAAGAAAAAAAAAAAAAAAAAGAAAAAAATAAGCTGGAAGGTCTTAGATCTGTATTTATTTTCTACTAAAAAAACCACCACCAAACCACTTTATGTTCTAAGCCAAACAAATGGTCTCATGTTAACTTGACACTATGGTTGTCCCCCACTTTTTCCCCACACCACCAAGTACACCTAAAACCCCGAGAAAAAGCACTTGAGCAGCACACCTCAAGAGCACTCCTCTTCCCCCAGCTCACTACTTTTGAAGGCAGAGCAGAGAAACAGAACACACCCACTGACAAATATTTTCAGTCACAAGAGAACGAGGTTTGTTTCAAAGCAATGGTTTCCCAGCTTTCCTTTGGTTTATATATTTATAAAATATTCAAATGAAAGATGCAGACCTTATATGGAAAGGTAACCTTTTGGCAGAGGACAGTTTTTCAGAACCCCCCTAGATATAGGTCACAAAATCCCAGCCATTTATGAACCACAGGTTGACAGTCATTTTCCTACAGAACTGAGATTTTACTGCGTCAGAATGAATGTGCCGCCCTTCATTTAAATTAAACGGTTACTGAGCCAAAACAGAGCAGCGCTGGCAAGAATCAAACTCTAAATCACAAATGCAACCACAAAACCCAAATTCTCTCAAGCCCGTTCAAGATAAAACTTGGCAATTCACACCTGCCTACAGATTAATGCCGGATTTCAAGCGTGAATACCAACACACATAGCAGGAACAAAACACCTCTAGTTCATCAACCGTATGGCTGCCAGACTGAGAGTATCTTTCAAGATGTCTCCTTTATGGCTGTCAGGAACCTCACGCACTTCACAAATCACTAGTTTTGCACTACACAGACAAGCCTGGATACCTGCTCATGGCCATTGCAACTCCCAAGAATCAATACACTCAGAAGCTGCCGCAGAACGCATCTCTTCATCCTTCACGAGCAAAGGTTTAGCCATCACAACAGCCACGTTATGTGTAACTCACGCACAGCTTGCATCCACTCCACCATCACGTGAAGAGCTTTCACACCAGCTAATTTTAGGGGGCTAATAAAGGGGAGGCTGGCAGATTCCCCGGTATAAGAGAGGGAAGCATTTCTTTAGGATAATTCAGTTTGACCTTTATCTCGTTTTATTTATATTTTATAGAAGGCGAAACACCCTCTACTAGCCATCTCCCTTTGCAAATAACTTCGGCTCTATATAGCCATCTTCTGGGAAAGGTTCCCTCTGCGAAGAGAGCCAGAATTCAACTCAGTTCCTGAAGTTATCCTGAAAAAGCTGATGGAAATATCAGGGAAGTAAAATGAGTGCCCGTCCTGTTCAGGGCCATAGAAGAGGCTGAGGCAACGTTCATCTAACGTTTCTTGGAGAAGATTTACAACCTAATGACAGTGGAGCACAAGATGGTTGGGAAAACTGTATTTGTACTCCAGGCAAGCTGCAGCAGCACTGACAGGTTCTGATTCACCAAGGGGACAGTTGAGTTTTCCAATAAACATACCTTTAGATTAAAACAGGCACTAACTAAAGATGATTTACAAGATGATTGCTGTAAATCAGTTCACACTGACGTGAAACACAGCCACCTCTAAAAGTGAACGTAACGGTTTTGTGGTTTGTTAACGCAGCTTTCCGTAATGAGAGATGTAACAGTTCACATGCAAGTGCCCAAATCACAGCATTCAATAAAAAACAGCAGTTTTTTGTTTGTTTGTTTGTGTTTTTTTTTTTTTTGGGGGGGGGGGTTCTTTAATTGTTAAGTTACAAACATAAACCTTTCCCTCCTGATCATGCCAGAGCTTGTCTTGTCCTTACTTTTGTAATGTAATCTCCTTAGCAAAATAAATTGCACATAATTAACTCTTCCGACAGGCCAAGGTTCAAAGTAATCAACATTTAGATTAGTGGCAAAACCTGTTAATTAGCAATTTGTAGCAATTGCTGGTTTGCTATTTTGTTCTGGTTTACATTTTAAATAATTTCTTTTTTCTCATAAAGTCAAACTACTATTTTTAAGAGTGCAAATTTACAGGAAAAAAGACAAGGCTGTTGACTTCAGCTTTATAGCAAGGGACAAGTTTCTGCAATGAAATCGTACCTGAACTCTATAATCACTTCCACTTCTCACTAGCAATTAACGATGCTGCAACATGGAAGATACCTTTCTTCTGTTTCACCGCAATCACCATGAAACTACATTTTGCTCATCAGTCAGGCTTTCCTTCCTACTTCCTTCAATTACTGAAGGTCAACATTGTTCTGCGAGTACTCGCCTGCAGAGGCTTTCACCCCGCGCTGCCTGAACGCTGAGCAGCTGAGGGGGATTTCAGAAACCATGCATCTGCGTACACAAGTGAGAGAAAGGGAAAAAACTGGCCTAAAAACCAACTCACGAGGAGCTTTGCTCTTCATTTGGGCTGGGCCAGAACATACTTCAGGGATTAACAAAGTTCAGAATACAGCTGCTCACAGAAGCAACGAATTTACTGTCAGGCTCCCAAGGCAATCTTTCCCACGTGTATTCAGTTATTTTTCACTACTCACACACATAAGACTAGAAGGGAACATGTAAGGACGCATTGCTGCATTTTTCCAAGTTCTCTACAGCTCTGTTATTGGAAAAATACTTGTTATCGAGTCAAACTGGGACAAAATTTTGGCATCTCTGTAAATTCTTTGGGTTTAGTATTATATTTTTACCTGTGAAACAATACAAATTGTGGCCATGTGTCAT